GGTATTGCTTTAATCCTACAGTTGCTTGGGAGGTAAATACTGCCCATAGTCCAACTGCTGAAGCGTTCTGTGATATACTTCAAACAAATGCTATATGCAARCACGTTGAATAGACGAGGGCGGCAGTGACGGACAGCAGTGACGGACAGCCGTGTGCCCTCTCCTTTCAAGAGCCAGCAGGGAATAGGGGCAGCAGCCCCTGGGCACGCCGGCCCACATCATCATCCTCAAGCCTTTCATTTAAGCAAGCACTTGGTTTTGTTTCTAGCCACAGAGCGAGCCTCCTGGAGCAGGCTGGTGCTGCACGGCAGCCTTTCTGCACGTTGCTGCATTGCTGGCACTGTGAAAACACCTCCTTCACCTCCAAATAAGCCAGGCAGAGGGAGGAAGAGCTCTGCGAGATCAACTGCCCCTTTGGTGCTGTGAGAACCAAGTCCTCTACAGACCTCAGCTCTCGGTGATTTCCAATAGCCGCCTGCACAACTTGCAGTCACAACTTAGTCTGCACTTAGTGTGCACTTGCAGTCACAACTTAGTCTGCACTTGACCTTCTCGTAGACTTTCCTCAGGTTCTACTTTTCCACTATTTCTGTGGCTCCCCCAAGGCAAGTCATTCCAAGTGCTGGTTATGACTTTAATACCTGCATTTACCTGCGCTGTCAGGGTTTCAGCGCTGGTCCAAGCAACTTGGTTTAGGATAAATATAGGTTAACCCGCAAAACTAAGACATCTATTTTCTTGCTGTTCCCCACTGTTCCACGTCTCCTGAAGTCAGTCATTAGTAAACGCTAGAAGGTATGTGTTTGAATTCAGATTCTCAGATCCACTGAACAGAGGGGACTTGCAGGCAGTTACTATATGAGCAAAAGGACCATGGGTGAGAGGCTCGTTTGGCAGCACATTTGTACGTGTCGTATGGGCTTGTTGCTGTTGGTGCCCGTGCTTATTAAAATATGTGGCTAGCACATTTTGTGTATGTTTTAGCTAATTGCTGCGAGTATTAGTCAGAAAAATATCAACATCTTACTAGTTTAGTAGCTTCTGAGGCTACAAACAAGGCCATATAAATATAAGTTACAGTAATTAAATGCAACTCTCATCTGTTTTGTCTCATCTCTTGCAAAATTACCCCTCAGTTTGGAGGCTGGTTGGCACTTAGAGGTTTCTCTGGAAAAAAAAAAAAAAGAGGAAAAAAAGTTTTGGATGTGATAGTTATTTAAAGAGCTACCGCTGTATATTTTCAAACTTTTTTTTTTTTTTTTTTTTAAATGTAGAGATAATCCTCTAAAAGGAGGCTGAGCTTCTTACCCTTTAAAGATGCGAGTGGAGCTGTCACGTTGTCATTGCTGGGGCTGCACCCAGGTGCTCTCGTGAAGCAAGGAGTGGTAGGACAACGTGGGCTGCCCGGTGGCAGCACAAAACCTGCACCAGCTATTGGAYTGTTCCAATGAATCCAGCCCGTAAATAGAAATTTATGTTTAAGTGGGAATGTTTCATTTGAAGTCATAGTTTGACACGATTCAGATGTGAGACCTGTAAAGAAAAAGAGGGACTGTATTTCTCCCTCCCAAGAGTTTAGCAGTTGCTGGTTATTTATGTTTACATATTCCTGCAGCTCCACTCCTGGAATATCCTGACAATTTGCCAAGTCCTGCAGAGTGTTGACGTGCTGGACAAACACGATCCCTTTGATTGCTGCCGGGACGCTCGGAGTGAAGAGAACAAAGCTATTTAGCTTCCATAAGGAACAGCGTGCTATGCCTGTAACTTCCTGCTGCTTTATGCCGGTGGTTAGGACTGAACAAGCAGAAACAACTCCTTTATTTTGTCCTAATTCAGCCTTTGTTAAGTATCTAGATCTGACTGTGTTCCTGATTTAAGCTCACATCATCTTTTCCTTTCTCCCCAGGTGAGAGGCACATTAGTTTCTGAGATATTATGCATCTRTTTAACTACTTAATTTTAATATATCATCTCTACTTATTAAGTAATAACATTGTAGAAGAACTACTTCAATCTGTCATTTTCTTTGTCCCTTTAATTATTGAAGTAAAAACAAGCCTTGACTGAAAAAGTATAATTCTTTTATTTGTAAATATATTCATGGGAGCTGAATTTAGGGCTCCCATTGATCTGGAGTTGCTCTTCTTYGGTGGTAGGTACAGATGCAAAGCCCTCACAATGCTCTTTTCAGCAGCCAGCACACTGTTGATCTCGCCCTGCCGAGGTGCACTGCGGGGAACTGCAGCTCTGTTGAGCAGTTCTGCGTCCCAACAGGAGCACAATGGGATGCAACCATAGTCAGAGGGTTCTCATTCTTGACAGGCATGGACAGTACCGAACGTAGTGCAGGTAGATGGTAATGAGCTCTAAACTAACATGTTTTTAATAGTTTGTGAAACTTAGGAGAATGCCATCTTCTTTCCAGCCATCACCRTAGAGCCTTCAACTAGGAAAATGCCGTGTTCCTGTCTCAGCCATGTAGGAACTCAGCGCGTAGGCATTTCAAGCAGTTAACTTTGTAATACTGAGCTACAGCTGTTGCCTGAGGTTTTTATGGGTCTTTGTCAGCTCTAAATACCAGGAGCATCTAGCTGTGCAGAGCCATTTGTAGAATATTCCCCAGACCGAGTTATTTTTGAATTTCATCTGTGATCAAACCCAAAATGTGCAGCGTAACAGCTGGTACGCTTACAGGTGATGTTTAGAACTGCATTCTCAGGCTGCATTCGCTCTCATCAGCCCGAGCACGAGGAGGACGTGGCTCTCTGGAGATACGGAGCTTTGCAATAATTCTCTGCACCAAAGCACCTCCGGAAGAATTTGTTGTACCTGTGAAACCTGCAGCTATAGAGGGAAATTTCTGCTTGGGAATTTGGCAAAGGCAAAGAGGCAATCAGAAAGGAATTAAGAAAAAAAAAAAAAAAAGGAGGAGGAAAGTTTAACTTGCTTTTACAAAAATGCATTTCTGTGTGTTCAGCCGGGAGATGTGTAAGTCTGTTCGGTTTAAATCTTTCTGTTTTTAATTGTGGAAAGTTCTGCTAGAGCCTTGCTGCCTGGTATTGCCAGAAAGGACTACAAATATTTTTGTCTGGGGACATGGAAGAAGATCCCACCTGCAGACCACACGTAGCTGCAAGGCAAGGACACCTCTTTGCCGAGTCCCGTTTTCCCTCAGGAAGAGGGCAGCGGCAGCAGCAGCAGCAGCTTGCCCCCGGTGTCCGGCAGGGTGGGAGCCCGGCCGCCTCCGTGCCTGCTGCGAGGTGAAGCTCGTGGCCGCCTCCCGGGAGCCCCGTGTGTGAAGCGGCACCGTGACGGGCCCCGCGGCAGCAGGACCACGCGCTTCGCCTCGCTTAGGAATCTAAACAATACCAAAACGCTTTAAAATTTAAACCTAAAACTTACTCCTGAATGAAGTAGTTGCTCTTGATTCAGGGAGAATTGTAGCTGCTGCTCAGCTGGCAATGAGCTTAGTCCATCCTCCAGTTRCATTCCAGTTGTGTAGCCCATGCTGGATGGTGCTGCTGCCCTCAAGGACTGAGTTCCCCAAAGTCTATAACTGAGATATTTTGTAATGAATTTAGCTCTGAAGTTGGCCACCCAGCTTATGTGGTAGCCTTTATAGCATGGATGCTTTACTGGCGTATCTGTGTATTTCCTGGTAGGATTTCAAGAGTCTGGAAAAGGGGAAGTGCCGGTTYGCCTGGAGCCGGCAGCCCAGTCCCGGCAAGGGAGGCAGAGCAGAGGCTCTGCCTCCCAGTTATCCCCTGCCCTCGGGTCAGGGAGGGCTGGGAGAAATGCAAGCTGATTCCCTCAGTGCTTTACAAAGCAAATATTAAGGTTCATGTGCTACAATGACAGAACCATAATTACTCCAATTGATCTGAATCATACCCGGGGAAGATTAAAGCCTGCTGTAAACACAATCATTACCTTGTATACTGCATGCAGAAGTAGTATAGAAAAATTAAATCTGCCTTGCAAGCCCATAATATTCAATCACATAGGTGCTGTGTTACCTTGTACGAACTTTAGCATTATCATATGTGCGTTTCAGATCTATTATATGTAGTGTTTTCTCACTTGGAGTACTAGTCTGTCCATCTGGTAGCTTAACCTTTTTATTTACTATATTTTGTGATGCTATAGGATAACATGCTTTTTAAATTTGAGTTGTTATCAACCACCAGATTACTGTTTCTGCAACTGAAAAAAAATCAGAAAATTCTGAGCTTTTTTTTGTAATTAATTAGCAAAGTTCTGCTCTGAAGAACTATGATGTCTTTCTATTGATAAAATTAATTTGTGAAATTTTAAAAATATGAAGGGTTCTTAAGCTTAGTAGAAACTAATGCTGTATTTACAGAATATCTATGTTGCTTAAAGGTGTTTTKTTACTGTTACAAACTGAGGAGGAGCTGACACACAACTTAGGATGCAGTAATTWTTCCTGATGTGCATGCATTGATTTTTGCTATTTGCAGTACTTCACCAGTTTAAAATTTTAATATACACCAAGTGTTCTGGTGTATGTGGGGGTGATTATATATATGTATGTGTGTGTTCCCACACTATTGATTTGTAGTCTGTATCTTCTGCTTTAGAGCTATTTCTGCTTGTTTTGGGGAAYAGAGTATTGCATGTAAGCATTACGTGCCTCTAGTAATAATACTATTTTCATAGTTATTTATTATATATATCCTTTAACACACTTTTCTTATTAAAGTGACACCTTAAGATTTAATGTTGGAGAAGGCACTGAATTTTTTGGCCCTGAAACAGTGGTAATGCATGTTAAGATGTGCTGGAAGTGCATAGCTCTCTTCTAATCTGCATGGCCTAACCCTTCCGTGTATTTTAAATAAGTTAGTTCTTTTAACAATGTTTTCAGCTTGTTTAAATACCACTTAAAATGCTGTTTTTAAAGGCATGCATCCAGAGACATGCAATGAGTTCAAAGTGTCAATGTTTCAGGGAATCTAAATTATTTTCAGAATTTCAGAAATTGAGAAGGGATAAGTGGAAGGAGAAAATGTTGGGCTGGTGCCAAGCGATAGCTCGTAACCCTCACAGACTTCCAAACAGCACAAGAACGCCCGAGGTCTCAGGTGATCCTTCACATAACTCTGCTTTGGTGAGTGAAAAGTTGCATTTCGTGGTGCTGGCATGTGCGGGTCCACTTTGGAGGTGGTGAAGTAATTTGAAGAAAAGTAGCATTTGTCTTTTATTGCATTCCCTCCGTGTCTGAAATCCTTGGACGTTACAATTTTTTTCCCCTTTGCACTTACTAGCTTTTCATCTTGTGTGTTGTGCATGGACTACTCTGGCTTGCATGCTGTGTCTGTCTATAAATCAGTATTGATGTGCTGTGACTAGTGTATATGACTTTGTACCTGCATCCTTAAGTGGAAAATCACCCTTTGTGTCCTACAAAAAGCAGGAAGTGTCCTACTTTTAATTGCTTACGCTCTGTATATTCTTAATCAAAAGCAATGGCATTTGGTCCCGATGAGTACAGTTACTCCCTTCCTAAAAGCACCTTGTTTGCTCTCTGCTCCTGCCTGTAGTAGGAACAAAGCATAATGTGTGTGTGTGCTCATGTGAGAGCCAGAAATTTTTAAATGATACATATTTCATGAGATGCTTAGTGGGTTGAGTTTCTGCATGCAAATCTACTGACAGACGATGTTCAGGCTATGTGAATTTGTCAGTGGATTTATCATGAATTATATTGAGTTGAATAAGTGACTCATTGATGAGAATTTTAATCCCGCAGTTTTTACTCATTCAAATAAGTCCATTTACATCAGTAGAACTGCACAGGTGAGTAAGAACTGTTATTTGTAAGTGAAGGCTTCAGAAAACTTATGTAACAGCAGAAATTGCCTATATTTTCACAGAATGACAGATTTACTACTTGATTTTGTTAAATTGTTTTGAAACTTTCAGAATATAGTGAATTTGATTATTTGAAGCACATTCAATTAAATATACTTGGCCCAATTTCATTATTACCTATCAAATATAACCAGGAGTGTTCAGGTTTGTTCAGTCTGTCTTGGGACTAGCTCTTACAGGAGGAGGAAGCAGCTCTGCTTCCATAGGCAGTGGGTGACAAGTCTGGTCTTGCTGGGAAGTAACTTGGAGTGTGGGTTACACCTTCTTCTGACCTCAGCCTTGGGCTTTTTCTGTAAACTTCAGAGTAAGTAGAATGTCTCCTGTGTATCTAACCAAGGATTCTGATGTTCCTACCCTCCGGATCTTCTCAGAAGCACCGTAACAGTTTTCTTGCCTAGCCTCTCAGCTCCGTTTCTTTCCAGGGAATCTCGGTGGAGCGGGAAAGTCTGGCTCAAGGCCGTTGCCTCTTTGTCACGTGCATGTGTTCAACACGGCTCTCCCTGTAACTTGGCTAATTGTTTTCTCGGGAACTGGCACTTGAGCTTCCATGCAGTTTAACAAATCCTGTTATTCCAAGCATCTCYCTGCTATCCTCCTGCTGCAAAGGTTTGGGATTTACTTGAGTAAATGCCGCAGGAGATGGAATGTAGTAGTGTAGAAATGCGCCGCGTGAGTAGGTCAGATGGAAGTGCTGATCGGGACAGTAACCGGCYGTGGCGCAGACGGCAGGTTGTGGCAAGTACAGGTTGAGCTGCAGCCCTGTGGTTCTCAAATATGGATTTCTAGTAGCTGTTTAATAGTAAAAGTGGGCTTAGCTCTCCCAGCTAGGTAATGAATTCACTCAATAAAAAACCCCAGGGCTTCCATGCTGCATATGAAAGACAGGAGTTGACAGATCTAAAAGATTTCTGCAGCTCATGCTTTTTTAAAGCAACTTTTCTTGCCTTTTAGAAATCCCTGCTTCCCTTTCCCAGCAAGTAGTCGTGTCACMGTGCCATTTCCCAGAAGGAACTGATCCAAAAATTGCAAACATGGTTTCTTAATTTTTATGAAAAGAAATATTTTGTCATAGTGAAAGGCTCATAGAATAGAAAGCAAATTATGATGATTAACAAATTGCTCACTGAAGTACACTCTTTTTTTCCTTAAGTAATTTAATGGAACACTGAAGAGCTGTGTAGGAAAAAAATCAAAAAGAAAATAACCCATGAAAACATTTAAATGAATTTAAAGGGTTTAATAATGTCTGCTACTTCATTTCCCTGGAGGTCAAAGTAAATTTTTTTAGCTTCATCCAAAACCAAATAAACTGCCAAATATTTCATCAAAACTCAAATGGGTTGAGTTTTCTTGGAAGCATTTCTCATTATTATTTTTGATTTTGTCATGAAATTATTCACAGATTTTGTTCAGCTCATTCTAATGAGCTCCAGAGTCTCTGTATTCAGGGACTTCAGAGAACATTAGGTAGCAAGAAAACCACTTTGGTTCTGAGCAGTCCTAAAAAAAATTGGGAGGCAAATTTCTCAAAGAAAAATGCTTAATCTTGCAGTGTATATATATATATATATACACGTATATATATATATATATGTGTGTGACTTTAGATTCCATATGCACATACACATACATTCCATAGATTTCATAGTGTTTTCTTTCATACTCAGAACAACTTCATACAGTTCATCATCTTAGTGTTGTGGGGTATAAAACTAGAAGAGATGCTGTGCTACCAAGTTCCCTTCTCTACTATTTAAGTGCCCTGTTACCGGGTTCATGAACTAGGTTTCCTCTTGGAATCATTTCTGTTTTCTTTTTCACACTGCTACGACTCAAAAGCTGTTCTGAAACTTTGCTTCTCCGATAGTGGAAACCATTAGCCATTTCAAATTCAGTCAAATTTGTTACCAGTTTGTGCTTGTTCCTCCCTGTACCTATATAGTTTCTAAATTTAAAAGTTCACCCTTTGACGTTCATTCTGAGATGTGGTTTTAGAACTATAAGATTCCACCTTTAAATTTCCGGAACAAAGAGATTTTTTTTCTTTTCCCTTTGGTCCCTTCACAGTTTTTAGGGCGAGTTACCCCGAGATAGGGAGCCCTCTCTCTGCATGGCAGAAAGGCTGTGGATTTTGCCATGGATTTTGCAGTGCCGGGCAGGGGCCCAAGGCCGCGGCTGGCGAGGCAGCTCCCGCTCGGCCTCGGCCTCAGTCCCCGATGCGGATGCAATGCGGAGCTGCCTGACCCCCTTAACGGGCTGCTCTTTTAACTCTTCATCGCTGGCTAATTCAGCCCGTGGCCCTAAGCTGCCGCTGGCCTCATTAGCCACGGCAGCCCAGGCCAATCCCGGCGGTTTTTCCCTCCATCCGAAGCCAATTAGCAGCCATTGCCCGGCTTGCCCTCACCTCCTGGCCTCCCACCACGAGCGTCCCACAGGGCGGCCAGGCTGTTGAAAGGACATTTGTGCAGCCCTGCTCCTTGCTGTACCGCTGGAACGGGGCAGAGCTTTGGGGTGAGGGTCCCCACAGCAGAGCTTTGGTGCTTGGGGTCTCCCCCTTTGCATAGCTGGGGCATGTGCCAAAGCTCAGGGCTTTCGGAGAGGCCTCACCCTTGGGCAGAGCCGCCACCTCGGGCTTCACCGCAGCCGTTTGCACGTGCGTGTGAGAGCACGAGCACGGCTCAGGTCCGGCCTGGAGACAGAGGCCACCAGAGAAGGGCTTTGGCTGTACAGTTACAGAAGCAGCAACAGCCAAAAGGTTGGGGCACTAAGACAGAGCTTTCTTGGACGCTGCTTTAGCGCTAGAGTAAATTATTATAAATCAAGCTTAAAAATTGAATTTTTGTTTAGCTTTATAACTTCTGATATTTATTTTTGTACATAGAAATAATTATGCACTTTCACAGTATTTTTCTTTTTTCTTTTTTTTTTTTTTTGCAAAATTTGCAGGAAATTATTTGCTGATACTGAGTTACTCTTAAGAAGTAACTGACAATTAGCCGACAATTCACTTTGAAAAATCTTCCTGGCTGTTCAAATAGATTGAATGCTCTCTTCCCTAAAATATTTCATCCACATTGTTTCTCTAAGCAACCTACGTTCACAAAGTTGGTGCAAGTTCATTTCATATAAGTTATTTATAATTTTTCTTTTGTGCAGTTGAAATTATGTAATTTTACTGTACCAATTTGAGAGAATGGTGTCTTTTAAGTGCAGAATTTTAAATGTAGAATTTTAAATGTATTAGCTTTTTAAGTTTTCAAGATTTATATATTTCAGTACTTTAGACTTGCTCACATAGGATGGAAGGYCAGAAATTACTTTTACGGCAATTTTTTATATGCCATAGCATATCTGGATTTATTTGAAAATGCATAAAGCTGAAGTGTAGGGTTATAGATACTTCTCCAAAGAGGAGATCACCATGYACCTTCTGTCTGTAAAATAAGCTCTAGAAAATGAGGAAACTAGGCAGAGCCAAGCAATTAACCTAACTCTTTGAAAAGGTGACATGGGTTATTCTCATTTTAGATCAGCAGAGCCTTCAGTCCCGTCGTAAGAGGGCACCTGCATTGCAATAGAGAAGCCCAGGTAACAGAAAGCAGCAAAGCAAAGTCTTTGTTGATTCATTTACCACCAGAGTAAATCCAGCGAGGAAAGCTGTGAATGCTGGTGTGGAAAAAGGCGCCTCGCGGTGTGTTTTGCAGAAAGTTACTGCTTGGAGTTGCAAGATCTAGAGGCAATGTCAGGATAAGCTCCGTGCTCTGCTAACTGCCCCAGTCAGGGAGCAGAAATGCAGGTGCACAATGTGCTTTAAAAGCCTATATGGATAGCATTTGTATGCCTGAAGTGTGTGCCCGTCAGCTTGTGCGGCAGCAGTGGGAGCACTGACAGGAAAGGGTAACAACCAGCGTTTCAGTTTTGYCTTCAACCCCTTTAGCTTAAGTTGTCCCTAATTACACGAGTTTATTGCAGTTTCTGCAGCAGGATTCATTCTCTCTGTCAAGTGGCTGCCAAGTAACAACTACTGCTTCCAAAAAGATATTCTTAGGTTTCGCAGCAAGGGGAAAATGAGGTTTTTGAAGCAAAGAGGGAAGCCGTTTATGTCCTCAGGTTTTGCTCTTTGCAGACAGGGCAGAGGAAGAAAGGAGGGAATTTGAGGCAGAGAGCTCTGCTGCTCCCCAGACACATCCTAAGGGATTTGCTGGCCAAGAATCCTCCACCTGTGTCCGTGTTTAG